AGGGACATATATTCTCAGTGTTCATAGGTACTCCTACTGGGTCTGCTGGACCCACACCTATGATCCCACCACTTAAGAGACTGAGGCAGGAGGACTGATGAAGGTTGTGTTGTTCATTTTTTTCTTCTTGTTTGCTTACTTGCTTGCTTGAGACAGGGTCTCAAGCCTGGCTGTCCTGGAACACATTCTGTAGACCAGGCTGGTCTTGAACTCAGAGATCCACCTGCCTCTACCTCCCAGTGCTGAGATTAAAGGTGTGTGCCACCACACACAGCCTTTGATTTAAGTTTGAGGCCAAGGATTTGTGAGTTTCATTCCTTCCAGTACTACAAAGTGATAACACGTCTCAAAATACCAGAGCGAGCGAGTGACCAAACACACATAGTATCCTCTCACTGTCGTTGTCAGGACAACCCAGGGCCACCTCCATTCTACACACTGAAGCATCGATCACGGTTAAGCCTCCTTGGGATGGCTTTACTTTGCCTGTTTGTGATTTCTATCTCAGGTAGAGCAGGTTGCTCTCATTAAGATTAAGGAGTTGATAACATCCAAGACTATTATTAGCCCTGAGTAGTTGCCAGCTAGCCTCCAATAGCTGAAACAGAAGCTCCCAGAAGAGCCTATTAGAAAACTGCAGGAAGAGCTGCTGGCCCCAGCTGCCAGGAAGGCTGCAGATTCAAGCTCTGGATGCTGGAAGAGCGCAGAGAGCCACTCAGAGCTGAGAGCTGCTGCCGCTCAGAGCCCAGAGCTGCTAACACTAAGGAAGCTACACTTAGCCTACTTTTTAATTTCTATCTACACTGAACAAAAGGGGCCAGGCATTGAGAGTACACTCAGGTAATCCACTTAGGAGCAGAGAGGCAGGAGCATCAGTAATTCAAGGTCACAGCAAGTTCAAGGCCAGCCTGGTCTACAGAGAGACCACTAGGACAGTGGTGTCAGGACAATTAGGGCTACACAGAGAAACCCTATCTCCAAAAATCAAATCAAATAAATAAAGATAGCCCCAGCTAAGTTGGCAATGTGAGCTGAACATTGCTGGCCAGCCAATGTGTTAATCTTCATTACAGTGTAGCATCAGGGTTCTTCAGTTCCCCATTGCTTTTTCTGGACCATATAGAGTGGCTGTGCTTCAGAGAGGGCATTGTGATCTAGAGATACTCTCTCTCTTTTCTTGGCTTTTTGAGACAGGCTTTCTCTGTGTAGCCCTGGCTGTTCTGGAACCAGCTCTTATATACCAAGCTGGCCTCAGACTCACAGAGATTCACCTGCCTCTGCCTCCTGAGTGCTGGGATTAAAGGCGTGCGCCACCACCACCCTGCTCTTTCATTATTTTTGTAGGTCTTGAAATCAGAAAACACAAACTCATTGAACCTTTACTCTAATTGGCTCTGAAGGGACTGAGCCTTCATTAAGTAAATGTGAACTTATCGCATGTACAGAGCATCTATTTTTGAGACAAGATCTCATGTGTCCCAGGCTGGCCTCAAACTTACTATGTGGATGAGGATAGTCTGAACTTAAAGGGATAGATTACTATACCTGGCTTATGAGGACCCGAGGGCTAAACATACATATGGCTTTGAGCATGCTAGGTAAATACTCTAGGCTATATCCCTTCCTTACGAGAAGCGACTACCAGGGGCTGGATAGATGGCTTGGTGGTTAAGATGGCAGCTCTTCCAGAGGACCAGAACTTGATTCCTAGCACCTACATGACAGCTCACAACCAGCTGTAACTCTGGTTGTAAGGGATCCAGTGCAGTCTTCTGGCCTTGGGAAACACACACATCATACACAGACAACATACAGGCAAAACACTCAGACTGTGCTGGCTAATGTCAACTTGATACATGCCAGAGTTATCTAAAAGGAGGGAACCTCAATTGAGAAAATGTCTCCTTGAGATCTGACTGTAGCACTGGGTGGTGGTGGTGCACTCAGGAGGCAGAGGCAGGTGAATCTCTGTGAATTTGAGGCCAGCCTGGTCTACATACTTAGTTCCAGGACAGCCAGGGCTGTTACACAGAGAAACCTTGTTTCGAAAAACAAAAACAAAATAAAACATGATCTGGCTGTAGGGTATTTTCTTTTTTCTTCTTTTTTTTTTAATTTATTTATTTATTATGTATACAATATTCTGTCTGTGTGTATGCCTGCAGGCCAGAAGAGGGCACCAAACCCTATTACAGATGGTTGTGAGCCACCATGTGGTTGCCGGGAATTGAACTCAGGACCTTTGGAAGAGCAGGCAATGCTCTTAACCTCTGTGCCATCTCTCCAGCCCCTGTTTTTTTTTTTTTTTTTTGTTTTTTCAAGACAGGGTTTCTCTGTGACTTTGGAGCCTGTTCTGGAACTAGCTCTTGTAGACCAGGCTGGCCTCGAACTCACAGAGATCTGCTTGCCTCTGCCTTCCAAGTGCTGGAAGTAAAAGCATGTGCCGTCACCACCACCTGGCTTGTAGGGTATTTTCTTAATTATTGATGGGGAAGGGCCCAGACCATTGTGGGTGGTGCCATCGCTGGACTGATGGACCTGAGTTCTATAAAAAAAAAAAAAAAAAAACAGGTTGAGCAAGTCTCTGTGGCCTCTGCATCAGCTCCTGCCTCCAGGTTCCTGTCCTTTTTTGATTCCTGTCCTGGAACTAGCTCTTGTAGACCAGGCTGGCCTCGAACTCACAGAGATCCTCCTGCCTCTGCCTCCCGAGTGCTGGGATTAAAGGTGTGCGCCACCACCGCCCGGCTTCTTGCTGCTTTTGATAATAAACTATTATATGAGTATAAAATAAACTGTTTGAAATAAACCTTTTCCTCCCTAAGATGCTTTTGATCATGGTGTTTTGACAGCAATCGGAATATTGAATATGAATATTGAATATGAAATAAACAGTTATATGAATATGATATACATTTTTATATGAATATGAAATAAACCCTTTTCTCCCCAAGATGCTTTTGATCATGGTGTTTTATGACAGCAATTGTAACCTTAAGATACACACATAAAATACACCAGGCTGGCCTTGAACTCACAGATTCGCTTGCCTCTGTCTCTCAAGTGCTGGGATTAAAAGCATGCACCACAAAATTATATTTAATGTGTGTGTGCATTAATGTCACACTGGACACGGGAAGTCAGAGAACATGTGGGTGTTGGTCCTCTCCTTCTTCCACATATATATATGCCAAGGATCAAACTTTGGTCATCAGACTTGGTGACAAGTGCCTTTACCCAGTGAGTCATCTTGTTGGCCTACAACAGGCAGGTTTAGCAATTTGGAGTCAAGGAACAAGCTCTCGTCACCAAGACATTGAAGGATGGAACTTCTAGTCCCTTGACAGCTACATTTCCAAGAGATGACTTCCAGTTGGGCCTGGTTTGTAATCCCAGCCTCTTGGGTGTATAGATCTCCTGGAACTGAAGTTGAAGATAGTTGTGAGCCACCATGTGGGTATTGGGAATTGAACCTGGGTCCTCTATAAGAGAGGCAAGCGCTCTTTTCTCTGTTTCGCCCTGATTGTCCTGGAACTCGCTCTGTAGATCTTGAACTCACAGATGTGCCTCCCTAGAGCTGGGTTTAAAGACGTGAGTCACCAACTAGCTGGCAAGCGCTCTTAATTACTGAGCCATCCTTACAGTTCCAAGAATTTTTACATGTATTTATTGTGTGTGTATGTGCATGCACGCGTATGTAATATGTGGGTGGGGTTGCAGAGTTCACAGCCCACAAGCGGAGATTGAAAGGAAAAGGTTCAGGACCCTCAAAACAAAGATTTACTTGCCCCAGAGGGACAGAGGCAGGGAATAAGGGACAAACACAGGAAAGAGGGAGAAGGAAAAGGGAAAGTGGGTAGGGGTATTTGTCCCAGAGGGACAAAGGACTGCCTCTGGATAGAGAGGAAACAGACATGACACAGGAAAATGGCAGTACAAGGGAAACCCCATATTAGGATAAGATGTTTAATTTTAATTGGGCATGTTAATTAAGGGGCTTATCAAAGGGGGCTTCTGATCGCTGAACTTCAATCAATACTCTGTTTGCTGGAACTTCATAGTCAACCTCAGGAGGAGGAAGTGGCCAAATAAGGGAACAGACCTGGGAGCTAGCTTTAGGACTGGAATCTAACAAACTTAGCAAAGCAGAGGGAATGGGAAAGGCCTGTCAGACCCATGCTCAAGCTGGGGAGAGTCCTTTCAGAGATGGGGGAACAACTTGCTGGAGTTGGTTTTCCTTTCACCATATGGATTCTGGGGTTCAAACTCAGTGGCAAGGGCCTCTGGCTGCTGATCCACATTCCTGGGCCAAGAATAAAGTCTTTTTTTTTTTTTTTTTTTTTTTCCCGAGACAGGGTTTCTCTGTAGCTTTGGAGCCTGTCCTGGAACTAGCTCTTGTAGACCAGGCTGGACACGAACTCACAACTGAGATCCATCTGCCTCTGCCTCCAGATTGCTGGGATTAAAGGTGTGCGCCACCACTACTCAGCTCCTTTTTCTTTCATTCAACTAGCAAATTCATGAAACAGTCCGTGTTTGAAGAAAAAAAAAGGCAGGCGTATATTTTAAAAGGAGAGAAAGCGAAAATTCTGTAAGACAGGCTTTTCTTTCCTGCCCCTCTCATTTGTATTTGCTGGTCCATGCACATCAGCTGCCCAAACGTTGGTCTTTCGAGGGCCCGGCGTCCACGTGTTGCCCAGCCGGGGCACCCGCCCCTACGGCACAGGCGGGGCTTCCTGGGCTCCGTCCGGTTCCAGTCCCTCGCTGTGGCACCGGGATTGGAAAGCGGAGAAGATAAAGAAGTTGGCCTAATGGCTTGAAGATCACCAACGACCTCCCGCCACCACGAGGGCGGGCCCTACGCTCAAAACCGCGCTCGAGGCCACGCCCTGGGTCCGCCGACGTCGTCACCATCCTGGAGCCCGCGCACCCGGCTTCGGGGAGGGGCTGCGCGATGACGTTTGGCGCGTGCGTGGCTCGCTGCTCTGTCGATGACGCTAAATACGAGCGCGCGTGCGCGGTTGGCAGCCATGTGTGTTGTGTTCTCACTGTTGTGTGCTGTGCTCCTTCCCTTTTCTGCATCTGCCGCCATCAAGGACCAGGGGCCATGCCGGGCTATCCTGAGGCCAGGTAAGGACCGCAGGGCTCGGTGGCGGGAGGCGGGAGGTCAGGGCTGCGGGTAGGGACGGTTTCCCCGGGAAGACACGTGCCACTGGGTAAGTTAGGCCTACTTCGGGGGTACGCTTTCCAGACCTTAGCGACTTCTGCTGCCCTCGAGAGAGTCTGTCCCCGGAGAAAGTTTCGAGGGGCTAGAATTGGGTGATAGACACAGGCCGGGGCTGAACGTGCCTTGTCCCCCTCTTCTTAGGTGGAAATCGAGGCCAGGAGGATGGACCCACAGCGTGGAAGGGCTGACCGAGCTCTTCTGGAAGATGTCCTGGTAAGTCAGTTGTGAAAGCTGGGCTCTGTCTGGAAGTGAACCCTTATTTCTCTGAACCCTGACCGGATTAACTTAACGTGTCGCATTTTTCTCCAGCCTCAAAAATACATCTTGAGAAGAGTAAGGAAGAAAAGGCCATTTTTCCTGTTTGGGTATGTATGTTACATAGATTATTTCCGTGGTCATGACAGTTTAGGAACAGTGTTCTAAAATTAGTGTCGCATAGACTGATGTAGCAGCTTAGATCGTCTAATCTTGTAAATAAGATACCCACTTCCCGATAGCCTTCCGTGCTCCCTCAGTCAACACAGGAAATCCGGGGCCTCTGGAGCCAAACTATCTAATTCACCTTCAGGACTAATTCTCCCCTGCAGACTTGGGTCTTGGAGACTGCAGCGCGGGCTGTGTGGGTTGTGCAAGCCTCCAGCGTGCTTGGGTCTGCAGTGACCCTGTGCATTCCTACAGTGCTTGCCAGAGCAGCTTGAAGTGGTTTGAGGCCTTGCCCTGCTCTCTCCAGAGCAAGGTTATAGAAATTTCAGACAATATGGCAGACTCCTGCCACGTGGGTAAATTCCACGTGAATAGAATTGACAAATGCTGCACTTCCTTGTTTTGACTGTGGTGGGAAGGTTTTGCACAATTCTGGTGTAGAGGCAAATAAGTCGTTGAATATTTTTCTGTGCTCCAGGGTTAGTACAAACTTTTAAATTCTTAAAACAATTACAAAGTAGACAGCATGGAGACCAAGAGTTTGGTCCCCGTACTCTAGTGAAACTCCAGACGTGGCACGTGGTTCTGCTTTCCAGGGAGAGGCAGGCATGTGGGTCCTGGGCTTGTTCTTAGAAGGCAAGGAAGTCAAGGGGCTGAGTGTCTGCAGATGGTGGAGATCTGGCCAGTACGCCTTCCTGGAGAGGAGGGCATTGGTACTGGGGGGTTTTGTTTGTGGGAAGGCCTGAAACTTAGGTGAGGATGACCTTCAATTCCCGGTCCTGCTGCCTCACCCTCAATGGTTCAGAGTTCTGGAGTTAACAAGTGTGTGCCTGGGCTGGAGAGATGGCTCAGTGGTTAAGAGCATTGCCTGCTCTTCAAAGGTCCTGAGTTCAATTCCCAGCAACCACATGGTGGCTCACAACCATCTGTAATGAGGTCTGGTGCCCTCTTCTGGCCTGTAGGAATACACGCAGACAGAATATTGTATACATAATAAATAAATAAATATTTTAAAAAAAATAAATAAATAAAGACAAGTGTGTGCCCTTATGGCAGGGGTCTCACTGGCCCTGGATTACCCTGAACACCGATCCTCTGCCTCCTCCCACGTGCTGGGATTAAAAGTATATACCACCATACCAGGCCCTGATTCCAAGTCTTTAGTTTATTGTCACCCCACCTCCCAAGACAGTGTTTGTGTAGTCTTGGCTGTGCTATGACAGCTCAGTGGAACGGGCTGGCCTCCAGCTCAGCTCCGCCTGCCTCTCAAGTGCTGGGATTAAAGGTGTGTTCTACCACTGCCTGAGCCAGGTCTTCCATTCTATTTTATGTGCAATGTGTGAGCCGCGGGTGGCACATGTAGGTCAGAAGGCAGCTGGCAGGAGTTGACTTTCTCCTTCCACCATGTAAGTCCTGTGTGTCCAGGGGCTTCCCCGCAGGAACTGTCAGGTTGAGGTTTGGTATTTCTAGCCCCACGGCCTGTGCTGTTTTCCAGAGTTCCTGTTGGAGAAGATGGGAAGTTGGGGGGTGGAGTTGAAGGGAAGTGTGGAGCTGTTGGGTAAATGATGTCGACAGTCCTTAGTTTACGATCGAGGCTTCCGGCTCACTGACTCTTCTTCATCCTAGGGAACCCAAGGTGCCAGCGCTAGAGGAGACCTGAGATGACACATGGCTGTTACCAGGCTGTTTCATGGAACTTCGGAAGAGGTGAGGATGCAAGAAGACACTACCAGGTCACTTCTGGATTTTTGTTTGTTTTGAGGAAGTATCTCCTGTAAGTTAGGCTGTCCTCAACTCTCCATGGCCGAGGATGATTCTGAGGTCTTTGTCCCATACTTCCCTTTCCCGGGAGTTTGGATTATGGGCCTGTACCAGCAGGCCTGGGCTTCACTTCTGTTTGTGGCAGATGTCCATCAGCTAGTCACGTGGCTTTAAAACAGCCAGGCAGGGTGCACGCCTTAACCCCAGCACTTAGGAGGCAGAGGCAGGCAGATCTGAGTTTGAAGCCAGCCTGGTCTACAAAGAATTAGAGTTAGAGAACAGCTGTAACAGAAACAGCAACAAAAAAGGGCACCCCCCCCCCAAATAAAAACCCTGTGGCCTTTCCATAAGCCATGTGATTGAATCTCAGAAAGTTCAACTGTGTTAAAGTTTACAAGACTATTTCAAAACTTCTGTATCTGGACTTGGGCCCTGACATTTGGTTGCCTCTGTGGTTTGAATTTAGCATGGTGCATATGAGGTCATGATTATGTCTAGCTGGAATGGGTGTGGGCTGCTGCAAAATGTGGGCCACAGGCCTTTTGGCTCACTGGATGCAGTAAGGATCTGAAACTTGGGTCAGGTTTTGTTATTGCCCCTCACGGCAGTGGGCACTTAGAGCAGCCCTTGGTTTTGTGATATTGCCTGATTTTCACTGCGTGGTGTTTCTGATCTCTGCAGATGGAACATCTGAGTTTAATAAACCATGGATACTGGAGGCAGCTAGAGGAAAGCACACCTGCTATCCAAGCTCTTGGAGGTGGAGGCAAGAAGATTGTGAATTCGAGGCCTACCTGGCTGGGCTACAAGAGGCCCAGTCTCCAGAAACAATAAATGCAGTTTTATCTATGATCCATCTTTCCATGTTTGTTTGTTAAACTGACTCAGTTTGAGTGAGCCAAGGTGCCTTGCCCTTCCAAACACTGAAGCACTTTGTGATTTTGAGGAAGGGTCTCACGGCCCAGGTGCCCTCTCAGTGCAGTGATAACATGTACTGCCCCATCCCTGGATATACTTAGAGTGGCCATTTGGGACTGGACTTGGTTGAGTGAATGAATCATGCTGGAGTGGTGGTCACCTCAGGGCTAAGTGGGAGGGGTGAGGTGCAGAGGAACTGTGCCCTGAGACCTAAGGATCTGAAACTTAGTTATGGCTCAGCAGTCAAGGGTATATGATATGCTTCTAGTACCAACATCAGGCAGCTCACAGCTGTAACTCCAGTTCTAGAGGGTGTGATAACCCTCTAATGGTGTTCCTGTGTCTTCCCACCCTGGCTCTTCCAGAGGGCTTGGGTTCAATTCCCAGCACCTATATGATCTCACAACCTCTTGAAACTTGTTCCAGGGGATCCAGCACCATTTAAAAGTTTTTAAAACCCATTCATGTTGCCTCTTGGAATACCAGTAGTTACCTAAGAAGCCAGGAAGAGATTCCCTGAGGGTGATCTATTCAGCAGGAAAGTAGTGTAGTCTACCCATAGGTGTGCACACAGGGCTAGTTCACACAAGGATGTCAAAATGTGGGCAAAGCCTGGCAACATCTGCCATTGAGGGCACAGTGAATAAATTAGGTTTCAGGGCTGGAGAGATAGCTCAGTGGTTAAGAGCACTGACTGCTCTTCCAAAGGACTTGGTTCAATTCCCAGCACCCACATGGCAGCTCACAACTTTAACTCCAAGATCTGACACCCTCACACATACATGCAGGCAAAACCAAGGCACACAAAATCTGGTTTTGTGACTTGTCATAATGAATAGAACAGTGTCCATAGATACCAGACCCTGTGTGCAACAAAAACTACGCAAACCCAAGTAGAAGATAGGAAACACTACTGCCATACATGCAGGCAGAAGGCAAGATTCATCCCCTTTCCCATGTTGTTTCCCGCTCCCCCACCCCATACAAACTTTAAAACTAGATTAAAAGAACTAGTTCAGGAGCTGGAGAGATGGCTCAGTGGTTCAGAGCACTGACTGCTCTTCCAGAGGACTGGGGTTCAATTCCCAGCACCCACATGACAGCTCACACAGATGCTGTAACTCCAGGATCCAATACCCTCACGCAGACAAACAGGCACAAAAGCTGTGGTTCAGCTTCATAGGGGAAGCAGGTACCTGGGTAAGATTGCTGCAAAGACCAGAAGCAAACACCATCACAGATGGCCAATTTGACCCTGAGCTAGATAACAGGAAAACTACCAGGCTTTCCTCAGTCGCCAGCAGTCTTGAGTGGTGTCTTTTCTCCGTGTTAGCTGGGTTCGGCTAGTCTGCCTTTATAAGGACTATGCCATGAGGAAACTGGCTACAACCTGTCCTGAGTGACCAGCCGTTCTGTTAAAGCTGGAGCCTCTGGATTCGGTGACAAAAGAGCCCAGAGTTGGTTCAATCCAGGAAGGAATTAAATGTGATGTCATCTCCTTGGCTTCAATAATGTGAAATGAGATCCTGTGTGGGTCATGGCAGTCAGTGCAAACATGGTTGTGAAAGCCACCTGGGTGGGAAGGGCTGAGTCATGCACTGATAGCGGAAACAGCCAGAGTCTAATACTACACCCACAGGTCAATCTCTGACCTATGAACAGTCTTGGGATTTTTAAGTGGTTAGGAGAAAAACCCGAAAATATACTATATCATGACAGGTGAAATTTTTATCGATTACAGAGTTCTGTGTCTCATATTTTACTGGAACTCAGCCATGTCAGTTCTTCATTGAATTAGCACAAGTTCCAGATCTTTTTAAGGCCTGGGGTTTTGGGAAATGAAACCCAAGGGTGGGAGTCCCCAGGTTGGGAAAACCCTATCAAAGACTACCCCAGGAGGCTGGGAATGAAGCTCTTCCATGCCAGGCTTACAAGGATGCAGCCTGGCTGTCTAAGAGTCCTATACCAGCCCAAGGTGAAGCCAGAGCCCTGCTATTGGATCTGGGGTATTTTTGGCCAGTGGCTCATTTTATCACTAATGGTATTTGCTTTTACTACATGGTGGACAAAAACTTATAATTTCATTAGATATGTTGCATTATCAAATAATTTTAAAAATCAAATTAAATGATTGAAATAAAATTATCTGCCGGACGGTGGTGGCACATGTCTTTAATCCCAGCACTCAGGAGGCAGAGGCAGGCGGATCTCTGAATTCGAGACCAAGCTGGTCTACCGAGAATTCCAGGACAGCCAGGAATACACAGAGAGGCTGTCTTGAAAAACAAAAAGGAAAGGAAGACAGAGAGAGAGAAAGGGGGGGAGGGGAGAAAAAGGAAATACAGTGATCAGGGATTTGTGAACACAAGAACTCTCAAAGTTGACCCACAAATAACTCATATTTGGGAACATGGGGGCCTGCCATCTGACCTCCCAGCATGAGGGAAGAGAGAGAGCTGGCCGCCTGGGGCAGACCTTGCAATCAGGAGAACTATTCAGAGAAAGCTGAGTGTCCAGCCAACCATTTCTAAATGCACTGTCCATCTATAAACTCAACGATGAGTAGCAAGTCTTTCGCTGTGCTGCTAGCTCCGAAATAACAACACAGAGACTATGATTAACTATGCAAGGTCAGTCTTAGCTTAGGCTTGTCCCACTAGCTCTTATAGCAAATTAACCCATTAATTATCTACATTCTCTCACACGGCTCATTACCTCATCTCCCCACTCTACCCCTGTTGCTTTCTCTGCATCAAGCTAGTGGCTCCACCTTTCTTCCTCTCTGAGTCCTCTCTGTCCCCACAAGTCCCATCTAACCTCTTCCTGCCTAGCTATTGACCATTCAGCTCTTTATTAAATCAGTCCCAGTGACACATCTTCACACGGTGTAAAGGAATATTCTGCAGTGACTAAGGGTTGAGACCTGTGACAGCTAAGATCAGGCCCCAGAGCTCCAAGAGGTGTGGTCTTATCTCAGAGGCTGAATGGAAAACAAAGCTGAGCATATGCAAGAGGGTTCTACTAAAGGCTAGCCTGCTAGAAGGCTGCCCCCCCCCCCCCCCCCCCCCGCCATTGTTACGGCAGTGAGGAATAGCGTGGTGCTGAGTCACCACCTGTAACAAATCTTTAAATCTTTCTCTGTCCTGCCAGTCAGCTTCCAAATAATGACACGGAGAGTTCTTATTAATTACGAAAGCTCAGCCTATAGCTTAGACTTATTCCTTACTAGCTCTTACAACTTAACCCATATGTTTATCAATCTATGTTCTACCACGTGCCTTTTACCTCTATCCCATTCTGTGTGTCCAATGCATTCCAGGTCTGGCTGGCTTCTCTATGGCCAATTCTGGTCAGCTAGTCACTGGCTCTGCCCCCTGATCCAAGGTATAACTTTATTGGACAATCTTGGGAGTGTTAGAGTGGAATCAAAACAGCCCACAGTACCAACCATTGGCTCATCTGCAGAGTCAGGCAGGAAGTCTTTATTGCTTAAACTCTATTGTGGCCACCCTTGGCTAATGTCGAACTGTGGGGTGACATACAGCTGGGTAACCAGGACCATGTGAAGAAACTTCTCTTGGGCTGGAGAGATGGCTCAGCAGTCAAAAGCCCTGACTGCTCCAGAGGACTGCGGCTTACAGCTGTCTACCTCCCTAGCCTTCTGCAGACACCGGGCATGCACACAGTGCACTTGTATACAAACAGACAAAACTCTCATACACAGAAAAGAGGGGATTTTAATAAAATGAAAAGAATCATCCCTTCTGCTGGGGCTAGTGTAGTCCTAACTGCATTGGGGAGCTGAGGCAGAAGGCCAGCTTGGGCTCCAGAGTTAAAGGAGGAAAGAAGAAATAGAGGGGGAGACGCTGGGAGGGGCAGGGCGAGGATCTCTATTATGTGCTACCCAAGGGTGAAAACCAACCCTCAAAACTCTTGTGTAAAGCAAAGGTTTCTGTTGTTTTGAGACCAGGTCTTGCTATATCAGGCCTTCAACTCATTGTGTTGACTATTTTGGCCTTGATTTTATGGCAACCCTCAAGCCTCAGTCCCTTCCACCCCCCTACTTTTTTGTTTGTTTGTTTTTTCTTTTTCTTTTTTGAGACAGGGTTTCTCTGTGCAGCCCTGGCTGTCCTAGAACTCTTTCTGTAGACCAGACTCACCTCAAACTCAGAGATCTGCCTGCCTCTGCCTCCTGAGTGCTAGAACTAAAAGCATGCGCCAACACACCCTGTTTCCCAGTAGCACCCCGTGATACAAGGTGTCATAGCCCAGACTGATCTTAGACTTGCTATATAGTAAGATATGACCTTGAACTTCTGATCCTTCTCCAAGTGTTGGGACTGTGGGCATGTACTACTATGCCCTGTTATTATAGGGTGCTGAGGGTTCAACCCAGGGCTTCGTGAATGTTGGGCAAGCCCTCTACCTACTGAGCTACACCTCCAGCCTGCCCTTAACCTTTGGAGCGCTTGAGGTTACAAGCCTGTACTACCTTGAAAAGTTTTGAGGAGCACAAGAACCCCATCGGAACAGAGGACCAGACCGTTAGGCACAGACTTTGTGGGCCGGGGAGCAGGAAGCAGCATTTGAAGCACCCGGGCAAAGGAGCTGTGAGTGGGCAGGGCCAAGCTCCCCCGGCAAAACCCACTTCCTACTTTACCGCAGCACTGTAGGAGTTAGGCAGGGCTGGGCCTCCCCTTTCTGTCTGCCCCTTCACCTCCGTACAGAAAGCTCTGGCGCCCTGACCTGGGTGCTCCCAGTGGGCAGGATGGAGGACGAGGAAGGCCCTGAGTACGGGAAGGCTGACTTTGTGCTTTTGGACCAACTGACAATGGAGGATTTCATGAAGAACCTACAGCTCAGGTAGATGGGGCGTGGGTGCTGGGCTCCTTTCCCTCCTCTCCTCCCCTCTCATCCATGCAGACCTGAAGGGA